ACCCTTCGGTCACGAGCCCGGCGTCCTACCACTAGACTACCGTGCCTCCGCTTGACATTTTGGCCGTGTCACATGATTTAAGCGAGTTACAAGAAAGTTGGTTTGAGTACGAAATCCATGCTTGAGCATCATAATGGTTTTGTGAATATGGGCCATTAACATGTTCTTAGAGTATGAGTAGAAATAGTTGGACTGCTAAGCTAACACGTTATCACAATTGCTGACTTTTATTACTTTTTATTAATTTTGTCCTTGATCCCATTCGAAGGTCACAGATATGGAGGCGTGTTTACCAAAAGATTGGAATAATAGTTGAACAATACAGGCCCATGGAGCCTCTTTTTGAAATGGTGTCATGTTACATAAAGTCCGATATTCTATTGGTCGTTATTGTTATTGTTCTCGCACTGACGTTTTATTCTGCAGATCGTATTCTATCTAAATTGGATGTGTTGGCCATGCCTTTTTTATGTTTGAGTAATTGTTCTTGAACGATTTCGAAGATTAACGACTCTTCTGTCTAAGCTGTGACCTTTTGGAATAAGACGAAGACCGTTTATTGTCGAGACATGCTTACAATGGCCCATTTCGAAAGAAGAAAGGTCTTCAAAATATATATAATGCACAAGCTTAAAGCCGCCATAATTGATTCTTATATCTACAACAAAGCCCAATTATATTGTAGAACTATCTGTGGCGCAATCTGGTGAAAGACAAACGCATTTTGCATTCGTTGAAGATTCGGTTGTTATGGTGACCATGATTTATAGAGGGCATCAATAGATTTTTGAAATGTTTTTTAAAATCTGTGACAAACTGTAAGAGATATGCGCAGGTCCTTATCAAGTAACAGCATGGCGAGTTAGTCTCGTTCGACCAGACGCTTGCTCTCTTTGTAATTCTCTGTAGCGTAGCTTGCGCAGACAAAAAGAGTCTTGTGGAAAGAGACTACATGCCGACTCTTCATTTTTCTGTATACAGTTGGATATTGGTGAGAGCATGTGTTCCGAATCGTCCATATTTCTAATATTCCTCTTTTATTACATTTTTAGTTTAGCAGAGACAATTTTTAGAAGGTTTTAGCTGTTGTGTATCTGCATAAAGCACAGCAATGAACATCCTGTTCTCCGGAAGTGTATCCCAGAGTTCTAAATGTAGGTAAGATACCGGTATCCGGAAACGACGTTTCACATCAGTCTTTGCGTTTTTAAATGATTATTCCTGTCCCTACCTTTCATTTAAAATTATTCTTATTACATTGTTTTTAGATAAGCATTTTTCACATAATCAGTTTTCATACGAACAGTCGTCATTTTCAACGTGCTGTCCAGCCATTGGTTTTACACTGCATGTTTTGATAAAGCAATATCAAATTTAAACTCGTTTAAATTGTAAAGGACGAATATTTCGAAATTTGAAACCGCTTTTATTAATTTTTATAGCATATAAACATACATGGTTTGGGAATTTTTAACATGGCATTTCGTTATTCAAAGTGGTTGAACCGCAGTAAGGACTACACTGTAAGTAATTTCAAACCCCAATGTGAAACCCGTTCTGCTTTCTAATTATTGTATTCAAATATGATTCGTATGATTTGAAACTGAATTCCGGGTTTGTCTGTTTAAATGATTTAACGGAAGCTATTGTGTTTGACTGTTGAATACTGCGTATCAACACTATAAAATTCTATAAGCGTACTACTATAGAATTGTATAGTGTTGATACACAGTATTCAACAGTCAAACACAATAGCTTCCGTTAAATCATTTTATTTTAAACCCACGTTCTATGCTTAACGTCATGAAAAAGACACGATGAGAAACGAAAGTTAAGGATAGTTGATGCTATGTATGTATTGTTTAAATGAAATAATTTCATTAAACGATCAAACTATTTAAACTTTAAAATTATGAAAACAATTCGTTTCGTTTCTTTCTGAAAAAAGTCAATTTAACCGGAAGCTATTCTGATTGGCTGCTGACGTAGGTAAGATGGCTTCCGATGTTAGCAGCCGACAAAACACTTCGGATGTAGCCGCCATGCAGTCCAGAGAATGAGAAATTTACTAATCGACATTTAGATAGAATAGTTCCCCCAGACTTGAGTTCGATCTCTGTGTATAAAAGAGCAGTAGATATCTAGCTGGCCATAAAAAGAGACCGTTCTTTGGGTTATAATCACTTTTAAGGTCTAGAAAAAAATAGAAAACTTTTTTGGACGCTAGTTTTCATTACAAGTGGAGTAAGGGCTGCAGGGAACATTTTTAAAAATTACCAAAAAAAAGTCAAGATATAAAATCAAAGGTTTTTTCTAGAGACTAAAATACATTCTTGTAAATAGTTTCAGTATCTGTGTAACACAACCAATTCTGTAACGAGACATTGGAGATTTTCCTCCGTCGTGTCCATTGCCTTTACAAATCATTTCTGAAAAGAAACTCGTATCTTGCGGAACTTTACCAAAATAAAAACTGATTGGGAAAAAACCCCAATCATGTTTTGAGAGTAAAACTACAATAACAAAACAGTTGTTCTATCCAACTGGTCATGCAGAGATTACCTGACCAAGAAACCAATACAGTTATACCCAAAACGATATGAAGGGGAGGTTGCTGTATGTACATGTATGTACGAAATGTCTGCAGTGGGACAGGTGCCTTAAATAAAGTTATGTTCCTATACGAGTTGTTTAGAAACGATTGTGGCATCTATAAATATCACTCATCGCAAGGATCAGTTTTAACAAAACAAACAAACAATCAAAACAAAAACAAATATATTCGAAGTATTTCAATAGAAGCTCTTTTAGATGTTCTTTCCTACATCTGTTCTGTTTGTCACTGCGTCGCTGACCTCAGTTGTAAAGAAAGATGGTCACCGACAAAATGTTAATGGTTTTGACCATAAACTGTGGCTAAGTAACGACCGATGGTTGTCTGTTAGGTTGACATGTCCTGGCTGTTATATGACGCATGTTGCTATCCAGGTGTTAGACCTTAAGAACAAAATACGAGTAATACCAATGATATAGAGATAATTCTGGTCTCATAAAAGCGTTGCTTTTCTCGGTCATGATCCGTCAGACCTGCACCGTAGATTCCTTCTCTTTATGACTTTTATTATAATACAATTTTAATTATTAACAACCAACCAGTCATGATCATGATAAGCGCAGCCATTTACTTCATCTTCAGGAAATATTCAATCTTTCAATCCTGACAACGTGAAATGATAAGGTTCTTAAGGTTATATGCTCCATTTTGTATGTTTTGTTTATAATTTTTGTTCGAATTATCTCCCTTATGACTTTCAGCAAACATAACATAATACATTGGAATCATCTAACTGATATAATTTTTTGATTTTTGTGTATATTTTAAATACGTTCTGAATTGTTAAACACAATCTGAATTAAAATTAATAAAAGCCTATTTTATTAACGCAATGGTATTTATCTATAAGTAGTTTAAAGTTCAAAAACGAATTTAATTTCTCATGCTCAAACACTGATTCTGTTTAAACAAAATTTATTGTAACGCGCTAAAATGATGCGACACGTTCAAAAAAAGTGTCAACACCAAAAATGGTATACAGCTTATAGTCTTCGATAAATTCTTCCAAAGCATTGACAAAAATCTTCATGTATTCATCGCCTGAATTAGAAATATAGCTTGAGCACATAATCTGAGTTAGAGCACGAGAATGGTTTCAGGAATACCAGTGCTAATATCCATACCACCAGCAAAGAACCTCTCGGCGGATATAATAATCTGACCAATAATTATCCTTGTTACATCTAAACCTCGTGACGGCTATAATAATCTGACCAATCATCATCATTGTTACATTTAACCTCGTGGAGGATGTACTAATACAATAGACGTCCTTGTTGCATGCTGTCTTCAATATGAATATATTACACACGTAATTTACAGTAATGACGCTGCTTTTCACTTTGACGTGAATATAATAGGAAAGTAGTCCAAAGAATGATGTCAACACCCACAACCTTCTAAAATGGCACGTTATGGTGTTTTCGTTCCGGTCCGTCACTTTTCTAGGGAATCAGATCGTCCGACACATATGCTTGCCGTTCATTGTGTGTTTTGATAAAGCAACTTAATTAGGATAGAATAGAGTGATATTTGAGCTCGACAATTTTTTAATCAATTCAATGTTATTTCGACTGGTGTATAAACAACACTGAAATTGGGGACAATTATTGTAATGCCGTCAGTGGTCTAAGCTATATTGGTCCATAGTGGCTAACTCCGCGGGCCATCAAAGCCGGAAGTATGAGATTGGGGAGATAACTCTAGAATAATGTGATATTAAATTATGTCATCTGAGATGATACTGTTTGAAATTGACATGTTGATGTCATCGATTCTGTTCAAGAACAATATTGTAACGCGGCACAAGAAATTAAATAGATTGAATATTAATGTGATACACTTCGTCTGTGAAAACAAAACCTTCTACGCGTCGAAACGATTCTGTGAATTTCCCACCCAAGTATAACGGGTCTGTGTACGTATGCTATGGCTTCTGTTTAAAACAAGGTGCAATGCACCTCTACATATCCCTTTTCTCACTTATTGAACAGTTTTCGACTTACATCTATCACATATTATACGGTGTCATATAATTTGGTAGTATTAGGTATAAAGAGATCCTGATTTACATTCCTCTGTCGTTATATCGACACCTTCACGCTCCTCGCGCAAACTTGGCAACGACGCCGGCTTCAAAACAGCGGGTCGTAATGGACTCAGGATTTCCATCTCGCGGTTTTAATTGATTCCGAGGATTACACTTAGATTTATTGTACTTACATAGAAAATGTAATTTCCCCAAGTGGCTTATACAAAGAGGTCATGTCTCCGTCATTCACTAGCATATTACTATTTAAGTACAGAGCAGCACTGTATTCCAATGCACTTGAAAATCAAGTTATTTCCTGGAACATAAAGAAAACAGAACGCGGATAGAATGGATTTCATATACGTTTTAATGATAGTTATACCACAGCCTCTGATCTATAAATAGCTCGCACGCTGGAATGTTTGGCGCATAACGCGCGTGAACTGATCTCAATAAACTCTGGAAGCTGACGATATTATATAATACAGCAGAACCTTTCTAATCCGGACAAAACATCAATAGGAAATTGCACAAGATATCCGAATGCGAGTATATAGAGATATATCAACATTGTAATGGTGGTATATCCTAGCCTACATCGGTTTCGACAGGTTATTTTGTACACAGTGAAACCTGTTTAAATCGAACTACATATGGTTCATCATATATGGAAAAGATTAATAAAAAAGAATTCTGTATTTATCGAAACCTGTCTATTCCGATCTTTACAACGTCAATTAAACAGGCATCATATTAGATAGGATATTCTGATAATGGCACCTCTTTCTGTTACATCTTTACAGCATTAGCGACACGGATACTAGTTTACACAGGTTTAATTAACCCGTGTTTATCATTTTGATATACATGTGTTGAAATTCTTTACTCTGGCTTCATCGTCTTCAGAAATTGTTTTCCGTCAATTCGCCTAATCGGCTAAACATTAAAACCTTAAACCAGTGTATTTACAAAAAAATATTGATATTCTTTAAAACAAAAGAACATGTTCATGTACAGAGTATCCGATGATCATTTGAAGATACATGTAAATAATACCATAAGAATATTTCTACATTTTAGATATTTCTTTAATGCCATTTTTTGAAAACATGCATTGACGAATGATTAAGCGTATGATGCTTTGAACAAACTGGTCCAGATTGTCCGGATTAGAAAGGTTCTGCTGTATAACTGGAAATAGACACACTTCATTACAGATATATAAATGTACCAAAAATAGCTCTTGAGCACATGAAATTAAGATAAGAGACGAATTATTGAATACGATTTGACCAATCGCCAAATTTCCGAGATTGTATGGGACGTTGGGCTTGTTTGTATGCGATGAATCACGAATAACATATTATGAAAATGAGTAATGTCTTTATAGTTTAATAGACGAAGATTTGGCGATTGGCTGATGATTTTTGTCTAGGGATACAACAGTACATTTAATTGTGCGTGTGGTCCCGTGGTCAAAAATAGTAATCATGATGATGCAAAATTCCCGATGACCACCACAATTTCACAGATTATAACGTAATGGTCAGTCTAAATAACATAATGGTCAGTCTACCGGTCCTATTACTGGACATTACGTACGAATTTGGCACAATGGACATTATGCATGCTCTTAAGTTAGTACTAACTAAAAAAGCATGCGCTATAAAAAAAAAACTGCACAAACATCCTCCATTCTGCCGTAAGAGTCTGAACAATGTCACAATGAGTTTTATTGGGCCTTGTTGTTGATAACCATACTCATTCAGTTGTCAGAAGAACGTCCCACAGAATCTAAAAAGGCAAAAAAAAAATGTTGAATCAGCATTTAAGAAATAATAACAACGTTATTTCCTCCACGCCGATAAGAACACAGGAACCCTTTCAATGTGACAGTTTCCAGATAGTACAGTCGGGTTGGGCTGACAGAATAGAGTTTAAACATTTCAAGTCAGTCGACCCTAAATTAAAAAAACTGAAAGCACAAGTGATCCGCCACTTTTATTGTCTACGGAAGATATAAGTTAAACTCTCGGAGCTTCCAGATGAAGCGCGCTTACGTCGTTTGGAATAGGAAAGGAGAAACAAACCCAAATCCTCTGATCCAAACAGGAAACAGCATGTTAATTGCGATGAGCATGACAAACCACTAGCATTGTCAGATAATTAAGAGGTTAATGCCTACTCAAATATATCACATTTTGGGAGGGCATGTTTCCCTGGCAAGACTGCACAGATTACGACAGAAGGGGGTAGTTCAGGGAAATTAATCTACCGTTCAAACGCGGTTTTATCTCAGTGGATGTTTAACAATGCTTCACTCATCAACCTTCTGAGGAAATCTGCATATGTAACAAGACACGGTACAAGATGGTAATCAAGTCTGAAGATCGATACGCAAACCCAACTTTACTGGGTTAATGACATATATAGGCCAGTGTGTGTTAGGCCCGGTAGCAACTCATTGCTTCGCGCCGAATTATTCGGCTATTAACTTTTGACATTAAGCGCTAATGCCGTCACATTCAACATCTTTTACTTGGATTTTCGGAAAAACGTGAAATTAGTCAATTTGGGATGTTTTCGGTAACTAAACTCGTTAGTTTAAAATGGCAATAAAAAAGTTACAAACTGCACAACATTTTATTGCATCAGAACTTCGTTAGTTTCAAGAAAAAATATATCGCTCAATAAACTAACATAATTACACAATGTAATATAATAATGGAATCGGACAGCAGAAATTGAGTCAATTATTCATTAAATATCCCTCTCCCAGTTTCAAACAACTCCATAACGCTTTGGCATGCTAATTTACTGATATAAACTAGGATAAAAGACAACGAAAAATGAAATATATTCCTCATTATTATTATCGAAATAAAATATCTCCGGTTTATCGAGGGTCCAGATAAACAAGATATATTACATGTACATATGCATGTAAAAGTGTATATAAATTAATAATTAACACATATTTTATTAAGTACAGTATTTTGTTTTTGCATGGATCTTGGAAGAAGCTTTTGACATTTTGTCGAAAATCCTACCAAAGGAAAGACTTTTATTATTATCTTTGTTTTCTTCCTATATATATATGACGTGAATGTACTTTAGTTCGGATGTTTAATATCTTGAACTTACCATGCCGACGCGGTTACTTTGCCGACACAATGCAGACATCCGTCACATCCGGAAAAAAGAGGTATCATGTCCCGAGGCTTACTAGCGGATTTCACAATGTCTGAAATGGCAAAACAGCACACTGGGTTAGCCGAAGCCATTTATTTTCATTACCTTCTATGAAGTAAAATATACCCCTGTACCTAAAAGACCACATTAAGCTTACAAAAAGACAACTTTAGACTTATGGGTCGATATCTCTTATCAACGTGTAAAAAACGACCCCTGGAATCCATGTTTTGTCTGATAAAGTACGTTCCTTGTTGGAACAATAGCCTGTTTCCCTCATTGTTTAGAACGTGTAAGATGTACTTAGGCTACTGTTCACACGGGAAACCGTGTTTGTTTAGAACAATGTGTGAATGCAAATCACGCATTTACATTGTAATTTACCTCGACTGCAAAGGTCTCCTGTCCGCTGCAAGCCCCGAACTTGCTGTCGGGTCCATTCTTTAGTACACTCACTTCCGGTGTGACGTCGAAACCTCACTTCCTGTCATTCAACAATGTTAACAAGTTCTTCTTCCATGGATTTTGTAAACAGCTCCTGATTGGCTACATTGCTTTAGGTTATATTATTAACGTACAAAATTAAATAATATCACAGAAACTCAAGTTATCACATACATTTAAAGTCACGAAACAATGTTTTGTTTTTGATGTAGAAAATGATTATTTTTTGGCCTATATCACACTGTCTTTTAGGTGTGCTGTAAAGTCTTCGTCCATTGTGTGGATACCGGATGTAGATCCACTGTCGTCCTCAAGAGAGGAAGTCTTTGTCCCAAAATGGAACGTTTGTAGAGGTCTATGCACCGCATAACTACTTCCGGTTTCTCCTTGGTAACGCCCGTTGTTAGGGGCGTATGGCGGGTAGGCTGTGAACCTTGGAAGTTGTATCGGCGAGATTGGTTCACGTCCCTCCGGGAAGAATGTGTGCTGGTTCTGGTAAATATTCACCTCCATATTAGGTTTAGTTTTAGGGACGACTGCAAAGAATAAAAAGTACATGTTCATGTCTGTGTTCTTAACATAAAAATATAAAACGTGTCAGTCCCTGTTAAGTTGTACGCCATGTTGTAATTGATTTAGTAGACTCAGTCAGACTACCGCTCTTTCACTGACTTTAATATTTCATCGTTAATTTAAAAATAAAAATTTGATATATTGAACAGCTGTTTTTCCTTGTTTGAGATGATATAGAGGTTGAAAGGGCGAATTTTCTCTCAGCTGTGTGATGTACACACGCTTCTTATTGGCCATTGTTATGTTTCCTTATCTACTGCACGTGCCAGAAACAGCCAGCACGAAGCGAGAACGTGACACCGTTGTCTATTTCATATTATCACCTGATACGGGGGATACATTTTCTTTATGAATATTATCTTACTCATGATGTTTCACTGTTAAAATGATTTATTGTGTTCTGTTATATTTTTATTCTTGTTAATCTGTTTGTTTATGCCTTGCACAATTTCCTTCTCTAAAAGGAGTAGGGGCGTTAATGGTCAATTCCGGCCTCATCGGGCATTTAGAATTAGTTGTTATATTCGTAATCTGGAATAAATGAAGTACGCAAAAATGAAATCTCAAATTCATTCGACAACTAGTTTAGGAGATACATGTACATGTATGACATTACAAAGAGAGATAAAAACGCGCATTTTCATAATAAAATATGTGAATGTCGTCTGTTATGCGCTATTTGGTTGAAAATTGGCGATTTTGAAGGAAATTAACTAAACACTCTTCACTTTTTGAAAGCCTGCAACAAACAAATACATATTTGACGTGCTTAAACATTGTTATACCAGTGTTCATTCGTAGAAAGGATTTTTTGTTTGTCAGATGCGCAGGCTTTCATTTCTGCATGTTTACTGACCAAAAACACCATATTTTGGCTATTTCTGCATAGCAACGCAGTTTCGATGCTATGGTAGGGTATCTTCGCATGCTCATAGTAAAAAGTCTAAACCACGAAAGATTGCACCAATTAATGAAAACGATATTTATAACAGAAATTAGCAAATAGATTCCAGTTGAAATTTTCACCTCTTATGAGGCCAAAAATTACCCATAACGCCCCAAGTCCTTTAGCTAATATTGGCGGGAATTTTACTCCGGCCCCCCGTGTGACGTCATTGACAGACGATGCCGTAGCGTTGTTTAGAGGGTGACGTTTCCCTGGAAGTACAAAGCCTTATTCACTCCGTTGCCAATGCTCAGCCTTGTACATGTACATAAACTTTTCTACCGGTAACTTAAGCGATAAACAGAAAACGAAGTTTTATAGTTCTCCCCAGTTGTGACAACACTGTCTTCTATTTCCACTGGGCACCATTTGAAACAAACCCGCCTCTTGCCAACGTGATTTTTGTCCAAAAAGTTCGATTTCATCTCCACCTCAGTAAAATAATAGCTTCTACATGTATCGTGTATCAATTGTGTAACTGGTACACAATCCTTTTGCTGTTATCTGGCAATAAAGTATATCTAAACTAAACAGTAAACACGAATATTTATGGCCATTTAGAAATCACATTGAACAAATTGTTCACAATATTTTGAACAAAAAAAACAACAAAAACTTTAGCCTATATATCTAATATTGATCACATGTTTTAACCTGAACCTTTTACCTTCATTTCTACAAATTACCTTGACCTTTAACCTTCGTTTTACTATAGCGATGGTACGTACGTTCAAGTTGTCAAATTCGGTTTACTCTCAAGAAATACATGTTTTTGTCTGTTATGAAAAGGTGATCATTATGATCCGAAGACATGCCTTTACCTTTTTTTATCTGATATAAAAATTATTATCGATAAATTGAAATTTCATTTTTTTTAAATTTAAAAATAAAAATAATAATTTCAGGTGTTATGTAGCCAATTTCCTTTGGTACAGAAGAGTTTTACTCGGGCTCGCTACTTGATAAACCAATGTCACTGGGTATAGAATTAAAGAATGCTGTGTATTGTTGTAACGCTGTAAGAGACACGCACAGTGGTTCAGCCCAAAAGTAGCAAATCCATCCAATATCAGAATGGGAGAAATAAACAACAGATAGCGAAGGGTACAAGCAGAGCAGAATATTTGAAATCGTCGTGAACCAGCAAAATCCCTTCTGAACAATTTCGTTAAGACCTACATACTTAAAAACTTGCGAGCCAGACATGACAGACACTTGAATCATAAAGTCAGTGTAAAAAGAATGTTAAAGCCGACACAGCCTAAACATCATAGTCGGAGCGACGCTTACGATGTAAAGGAGAACAACGACCAGGGTTAAGCTGTTTGAGGCTTTCGGTCCAGAAATCAAATATTTTTGTCTTTCTACAAGGTAGACACTACAGTTTAATTGAAATATGCTGGCGATAAGCGATGCGACAATGATCGAGGGGCATTATATCGAGGTTTTACTCTTTTGCATGCACTGCTATAATGCCACCATGTGGTATTTCCCCCTTAAATTGTTAAATGTTAAGAGTAAAACATGACTTTTAACTACTCATACTGAGTGTAGAGCGTAATTAGGGATGTATGCTACCTTATTAGGAAATCTATCTCCTTTACAAAAGATTTCTGTAAAATATCTTCTGTAAATTGTATAGGTTAGAATACAGCCGTAGCTTACGGGATTTTTTTACCCTGCCCTTTTACTCCGCCCATACTTACATGTATAACAAGATCCAGACATTGCTAATCTATATGTAAAAAAGAGAGTGCTGCCCCTGTCATTTTGAGGACGGTCATTGGTCAATTTACATAAACAACAACAAAACCCGCCCACAAATACCATGTACAAATACAATGTGTCTGTCATCAACCCAATCAATGAAGCCGCGCCTCTTCTACTAACAATCTCTCCCCTGCTTGAACGGTGAACCTCGTCATCACTGATGGTCCCGCCCTTTTGCCCCGCCCTTATTTACATATAACAAGAGACCGTTCTTATCATTAAGACCACGCCCTTTTCTACTAGCTCACCTCTCCCCTTACTATATGATCCGACTCTTGACCCGTGAACCTCGTCATCACTGAGGTCCCGCCCTTTTGCCCCGCCCTTATTTACATACAACAAGAGACCGCTCTTATCATTAAGACCACGCCCTTTTCTACTAGCTCACCTCTCCCCTTACTATATGATCCGACTCTTGACCCGTGAACCTCGTCATCGCTGAGACCCCGCCCACTGTCGCTGGTATTTGTCTCCCCAGATGTCTCGCTGTGGTTGTCATCCTGGAGTTTTAGAAAAGCTTGACTGACGTGCTCCTGAAACATATAGAAAATAAAAATCCGTTAGAAGGCAGTTTTTTTTCCAGTTTTATTTTCTTAAGTTCCGAGAGCCATCCGACTCATAGGTTGTATTAGCGCACTCTGTGTACAGGTTGGTGTAAAAGTTGTGTCCCCAAAACACATTCCTAGATCACATTGTTCAATTCAATAGCTGAAAACATCTTTTTAATGATTACTAATGTATTCTTATAACATGTATGCTTACAAACATTTTCCATGATGCGGGGTAGAGAGAATACGCGTGTAAGAAACTGGGTTTCCGATTATACATCATGTCAGTCCTCATGTTTACGTAAAACAAAACAAAATTATATTTATCTTTCAGTGCGAATTCTTTTCTGATATAATTTTAACAATCTATTTTACAAAATGTCGAAACACATATTTTACGAGAACGGAGGTCATTAACAAATTTGATCAGGCAACAAACATCAATCGTTAATCATTCGGGAATTCCCGTCAAAAAATTGAATCAAACGTCATAACATGATTGGTTCCGAATATCCCTAATATTAGGACGGAAAGACCCGAACATTCACAAGTAATAGTTCTTGATATTGTTTTTGAGGTTGTAGGATTTATGAAGAGCCGGTGCCTTGGAAAAGAAAAATAATTTCCTAGATTAATGTTTTATTTGGTTTTAACAGGCATAAATCACTGGATGACGAGTGCTGACTCAGTCTTTCATTTTTTGAAATTTATATAATACGGGCTTTACGCACATCCCTTCCGTTTTAACAAAAGTTTAGACCTATTTGGTTTCCCGACCTTCGACCTAAGCATCCGCAATCACCTGTGTGTGCCTTACGTTCATCCCTGTAAACAATTATCACCTGTACATGTGTGTGCCTTACGTTCATCCTTTGTAAACAGTTATCACCTGTGTGTCTTACGTTCTACCTTTGTAAACAGTTATCACATGTGTGTGCCTTACGTTCATCCTTTGTAAACAGTTTTTACCTGTGTGTGCCTTATGTTCATCCTCTGTAAACAGTTATCACCTGTGTGTGCCTTATGTTCATCCTTTGTAAACAGTTATCACCTGTGTGTGCATTACGTTCATCCTTTGTAAACAGTTATCACCTGTGTGTGCCTTACGTTCATTCTTTGTAAACAGTTTTTACCTGTGTGTGCCTTGTTCATCCTCTGTAAACAGTTATCACCTGTGTGTGCCTTACGTTCATCCTTTGTAAACAGTTATCACATGTGTGTGCCTTACGTTCATCCTTTGTAAACAGTTATCACCTGTGTGTGCCTTACGTTCATCCTTTGTAAACAGTTATCACCTGTGTGTGCCTTACGTTCATCCTTTGTAAACAGTTATCACCTGTGTGTGCCTTACGTTCATCCTTTGTAAACAGTTATCACCTGTGTGTGCCTTACGTTCATCCTTTGTAAACAGTTATCACATGTGTGTGCCTTACGTTCATCCTTTGTAAACAGTTATCACCTGTGTGTGCCTTAATTACCACATAGCGATGCTTAACTCGGCTCTATAAATAAACACTATTACATGACTATAGTTAACTTAAAGAGGAGTGTTTTTCATTGAGTTTTTCTCCATCATGATTGCTGTGTTGTTGATACCATTTTCCCCGAGACGGGAAATACGCGAACGGTGGAATGACTTTTAGAACTGTCGGCTGTAGAACCTCACATGAACACAACAGATTAAAATCCAGCAAGTTATCTCCAATATCTCAAGGCTTTCTCTCTCTCAAAACTGATTACTTTTGCTTCGAAGACCCTATAGCAGGGTTAGATATCACCTACTGTAATTAATACCAGTGGTTAAATGATACACTCCGCTTTCATCCCAGATAATGCCACGTGGCTTTCATTAGTCATTTGTAACGATTATTAGCTTATCTAGAAACAAAAATAAATAAACAAATCAAAACAATTTTACAAAATCCGCACCGCCATTAAAAGCCGGAACACAACGGATGCACGCGAAAGACGTTATAATTGACTTCATCTGCACACAAACCCGTTACCATCGGTACTGCAGTGAAGGTTTCGTAATGGGTCGTTTGTGGAGTTTTATGAAATATTTTAGTTAAAACAGTGATTGCTAGATTGCCATGTTATCCTGCCACTTTAAACGGATCATATTTAATAACATCAACAGAAAAGTATTTACAATCGAAAACCCCTACTTCAGCGAACGCTGTTGTAAGACTTTGGTGAGACTTATGTGCTCGAGTTTAATGTATTTCCTTAAAATTGTAAGAAAAAAAACCTCATCTACAAGAAGATGAGAAGCAAATTCTGAAGTTTCTTCAAGACGTTGAAGTAATTAGTCTATGAGATGACCTGCTGTGTTTCTTGGGATCGCTCGGGCAATTATCCAGGGGCGGATTACTCCATTTTTACGGAATGCCACAGAAAATAAAGATGGAGAAATAGCAAGCTGTTGTACATTTAGGAGGATTAAACACCTGTTGTTACAATCATCGTTTCGTATATGACGATTTTTCTGTTATTTCATAGCACGTTAAAAATTCAGACGTAATTTCATGTTAACCATTCCGATATATTCATATAATAAGAGAATGTTCGTACTATAATTAAGAATGTGTATTATTCATTACTGCCGTTGGAATATAATACCTTTTCCATGTTCTGGAAGATCTCAAAAGCATGCCTACTTGTATTAGCGGTACACTCATTCACCTGCATTGACGTTTTGCCATCAGGCACCTGGACTCACACAAGTGTAAGACTGATTAGCTTTCCAAAACGTTCACAATAACATTCCATAAAGATGTTTTCAAAATTCAAATTTAAAACTTCAAATTTACATCTCTCTGAATTTAAAACTTTAAATTACAAGATTAGCTATCCAAGAATATTTAAATAAATTAGGTTATTTATCAAGAAATTGCATGTCGCTTATTTCATACAGTGTTGGGCAAGCTGACAATGCTGAAATTAGTTCGTACACGGTACAAAGGTCGTGATACTATAATTATGCTAAGGGGGGGCCCATGTGTCAGACAGTTTTTCGCTTCCTCAAGGCTGGTTTTAGAATTAGTGATTGTTGCGGCCTTGAAAATCTGTGCGAAATCATTCAAATCGAAACGATAAAACTTACATTTACATATTTATTTCTTATCTGTTGGCCTCCTGCGACTTAAGATGAACAGATACTATACCCACGTGTGCCAAATCCCAGCCCCAAGGCTTTATTCAGATTGTCTCAAGAACATTCTTAATTAGTCAATTCACATACTTTTAAAACCTGAATATTTTCCAGATATTTACTATAAGTGTTCGATTTCAAATCAAGCATTAATCTTCTGATATATGTGATAATATGCGCGAGTGTGTCGCCGGAAGCGGTTTATCGGTGTTCCGGCTAAATGACTCCGAGATAGGTAAACAAGATCCTACCCCGGGGACAGACAATCCATCATATGTTCGACCCCGGGGCCATGACAGGAAGAACGTACGAACGTGTCAAACTGTTTGAACAGGTCGACAAACATTTAGTCATATTGGTGAAAAAACCGTTATATCTGATGCCAATCCAATCCAATAACCTTATTTTTCAAAATATTTAAATCAGAAAATATGCATTTATTCTCCTCAGGTGATTGAATCAAATTTAAAATTAAGTTAATGAAATATCTGCAATGATATTCATGTCAAATCTGATAAAAAGTAGTTTAATATGCTTTCATTTCAAAAAGTAATTTCCCTTGCAAATTCGGGAAGAATATTCTTGCTGGATCCCGTTGCATTGTCGTAAGGGGCGACTTATGTACGGCCCTTGCATAATCGGAATTATTTTCCGTGCCTTCTACGTAGAGAGACAATTTTATCAGCCATTACTGCAACAATACGGATCTCTGTTTTTCTAGACATTCTTCGAATGTCTTTCTAGGAACCCATCTTAATTTGGCCTTTGCTGCTATTCCAAGGTCGGTTACCCCCCCTCCGAGAAAAAAATATCTATATAATCTTAATTTTGTTTTCTTTATTCTTTCTGTTGATGTTGCTTTATCTCCATATACACAGATGACGTTTTGAAGCAAATTGTGTATATGTTTTCAGTATTATCATTTCCGTTGGTTGTATTCTTTTATTTTATTGGAATACAACTTGTCGAGTTATATCCTTTTACACAGATGAATTTTCGTCCGGATTCCGGCATCCGGATCAATTCTAATCGAGAGAGTTTGTTAATAGTTTAGTTTTTTCTTTAGCAGATTTTATAAAACATGGCTCCGGAATGTGGATGAATTAAACCGGCCTTTCACTGAGTTGGCAGTCCATATTCCGTCATCCGGATGTAAATTCACCCGTACATAGAGAGTACCCGTACCATGTCAACCAATCACCCACAAGGTATTTTGATAATGCACATTGTATTCGTTAATCTGAATCTGTACATCTGATTTCGTTTATGAAACTCAATTTATTTTATATATAAGTTAATGTCGTTCTAACTGGAAACCCTTCTTTGACCGACAACTTTCATCATCAGGTGTCGTTTGTACTACCCCTTGTTTAAAATGGATGACATACGTAAACATGCACTCACGGTAAAACCCTACCAATTATGTATGTCTGTACCAGAGTTATGACGTTTGTACCCGGTAACCCGAAACCAGATATTCGTATTAAATGCGTCTCCGTCAGACATACCGAACTTATACCTGCGGCCGTTAACCAGTGAAAATATTCTTCTAGGTCACTACCGCCCTCTCTTCTCCTCTCCCCTCCGCCAGGCATTGCCCTCTTCAAATATCCAGATACACGTTTTTATATGAAATCATCTATGTCTTTTGATATTAGGAAGGAGTATACCTAGACAACATAACTAATATTTGGGTCGTAAGGCGTTAAGATATACCCGGAACACATATCATAAGTATAGATCGTAGGGCTTACCAATATACCCGGAACATATATAAAAAAAAGTAGGGCGTACCAATACAACCGGAACAAAAATAGCATATGGGTCGTAA